AAAAATCTTGTTCATATCGGCCTTATATCTTCTACATGATAAACAAATCATCTTAACGATATGCAAATGTTAATTTCGTATATGCATCCAATTTTACTATAATCTTCAGCATATCAGCTTTTTTAATACCCCATCATATCAGTTTATAGCCATCACAATATCACTCTTCTATCACCTAGGCCAATTATTTGAAGATACAGAGAAAATATTTTTGATTTCAACCTGTGTTAATAACTGCATATCTGATATTGTTTGGGTCAAAATCCTGACAACCAAATCCCCAGCAAAAATTAATCATAATTCATTGTACTAATACTACTATACATTATTAAATAGTTTTTAATTAATAACTCAGGCCAATTGTTAATAATTATTAATAATGCGGAAGGTCCCATCACTACTGGTAATAGCAATAGCGTCTATAAATCTATAAGTGATATGAAGTATAAATAAAATTATAAAGTAGGTAATAATGTAAATACTATACAGACTGTATACAGTACTCTGGGTACTACTATGTGAGGAGAACAATATGCAAGAGGATATGTTGAAGTGTATTAGTTGATCAAATTGCAGGTCCATTGTTTGCTATTTATGTACATTTTCAAGGAAGTACAGTATGTGGCACTGTATAGAGAACAATCAAATCAAAATATAAATAGTATGCAACACTGTATAGAGAACAATTAAAATATTAATAATATGTAGTATCTCCTTAAGCCCAGTCAGGAAGAAAAGGTGATCGATCAGGTGCAAGACCAATTAATTCCTTATATTGCGAATGTTCAGATTCAGGATATACTCGCTTAAACATACTACTATCCTTTTCTTTTCTTTTTGAATAGAGTGACTACTCACTTGGGCATGGAATGCCAGCTTTTCTATTTAAAATAGTTCGTAATCTATTGTGCTTTAAATAAGAAAATTTTAAATATTATATAAATTAACAAGTAAAATAATTTAAAGTTACTATTTTACCTCATCTGAGCACCAATATATAGGTGTAACAATTAATTGCTTTTTATCTTGTGGATGAAGTTCTTGATATTCCTCATCTGGCAGTTCTGGTGATATACAACATTTAGAAAGAATGAGTTTAATTTCTTCTTTCAGATAACACAAATCTTCAGTATCAGAATATTGATCCAATGCTTTTAATAATGCTTTAGATTTCTAAAAATAAAGTGTAGATTAAAAATTTAAAAAATACATCCAAAATTTGTAAAATTTTTATCTTACTAAAATAAAACAATTATCACAGCATTGTTTAATGTTTCGATTATTAAAAGCATCAGGATTCTTTTTCAATCTTTATATAAATGTTGAAAATATTAAATAGCAATATCTGTAATTACTTTATGTATCCAAGGTTGTTCTGATCCTAATTCTAAAAATATAAAATATTTAGTAATTTTAAATCAAAATACTCAAAAAGTAATTAATAAATACCATTAGTATCTTTGCGAACTTCTCAATCTTTCATAAAATAGTCTACATATTGTTCAATAATGATTAGATTATTTCCAGCAGTAGGTGTATTGGAAATATCCAGAAGATATTCTTCACTAACTGTTTGGTTTGCAGGTAAAGTTTTATTGTCATATGCAACTTTTTTTTTATGATATAGTTTAATTTTGCGATGAAGATATCAAACTAAAGTTGGATGTGTCTCATGATAAGAATGTCTTTCATCTTCAATTAATTCTTCGTTTTGAATTGATTCATCATCACTTTGTTCATTATAAACTCTTTTTTTAATTCATTTAATAGCTTTTGGATACTGAAGTGATGAAGAAAAATTGCTTTTATCATAAATATTGGAACTAGAACTTCTTAGCAACTTCTCAAAAGTATCTAACTTGTCAGTAATAAGTTTGCTATGGTTAATTAAACTAGCTAACTCAGAATTTATCATATTAACTAATTGATTATTATTATTTTTTTCAGAGCTATTAAATCTTCTCTGTTGAACAATAGTTATTAATTCATCTATTTTTATTTTGTTGATTTGCAAGTTGTAATTTTATTTCTTCTTCAATAGTCTTTAATGACTGATCTTGACCATCTAATCATTTTTGTTGTTCCATATATTGTGATTTTACAAGGCCTTCAAGAGATTGTATTGCTGTATATATTTGATAATTAGTTGTTTTTGACATTCTAGTTATAGATTTTTTTATTATTTGTTTATTTCAATTATCAAATAAATAATAAGAAGAAAGTTATCCCTTAAACTGTAGAGTTCGTATAACAATTTTAGCTTAAAAATAGCATAAATTTAGTTATGATCTATTTTTTTTAATA